CGGTCGTTTGGGAAGATGACTCTAAACTAGTCGTACCAACTACTGGAGTGGTCTCCAATTAACAGACTCAACATACACAAGAAAAAAAACAACCATCCCTTTATTTTCCATGTCAATCAATAAAACGCCAAGGTGTCTCAATTATCTTGAAACAAAAGCTATAACCTGTCTCAGTTTAGTGCATTGTAGGGTTTTCTAAACATACTTTAAGAAGAAAGCTGTGACCACATCCGTTGGTTGAATGAGCAAATTCACAAGCTGAAAAGTTGATGAAAGAAGTTGATACCTTCATCGCTTATAGTAACCTTTCGAATTAAACGCCGTGTCGAGTCAACGTGGCCGTGCCATTTGAAAGAAAAGGAAATTTTCTGATAAATTCGCATGTAACATTCGGTCCAAGCTAAGATGTAAAGAGAACCTACCGACAACCTGTTCTTATATTACGAAGTATGAATATTTTGACGTGGAAGGATTACATAATATGAGCGGAAATTTAAAAATTAACACAATCGTGATCATTTACAATCTACTGAGCAATATTGTTTATCGTTGTTTCTATGATAGCGTCAACACCAGCCTAACATGATTCCAAAGGGTCTATTTTGAAACGAAACATTTAATTTCACATTTTATCTCACTTTCATTAACCGTATGACTCGTCTTTTCTGTTTTCAATAAGAAATTTTTCAATTTTGGGCAACTGATCAGAACGCGAATATTGATCACCCATGGGAGAAATCATTAAAGAGCTCTCGTACAGTCAGTAGTTGCAAAAAAGTACCACTTACCCTGTGTTGATACAGCTAACCCTAAGATAACGACGATAACGACCTTTTTCGCTGACATTTCACCTATGTGATGGATACACTCTCTTTTTTCGTTAAGTCCAACTGCCTCAAAGTTATCTCCACAGTAATATCAGCATAACGTCAGAGATTTAATGTGGGACAGCTGGAAAATTGATGAATGTTTGACGTCTATTTTGTCATACGTGGTATGCAAAGCCAAAGAGAATAAAGCGTGCCCTTCGCAGCCGATTAGAACGAGATCATCTCGGGTCGATTTCTGATTATGAAATCCGAGCTCGCCCGAAGTCTTGTTCGTGATGAAAGCTCTAGAAAGAAACACTTCCTTCGTTTTCGCTCACGAATTTGTGTGAGCGTGTTCGCACATGAATTTGTACGAGTGCTAAGACAGTTTTTTAAAGCGAGCCATTTTGTAAAACGTATTCTCGTAGACACTTACCTAAGTAACATGCAGGTTCTTTCATTTAGAATGAAATTCCTTCTCTAATCATTGTCATCGTTACAATGCATTAGGGACCGTCTATTAATTTATTGACTGGAAAGAGGGGGAAAGAGGATTTTGGTTGCGCTATGATAAGATACCCCTCCTCCCTAGGCCCTGAAATATTCTTATGATCGTCGCTTATTTGCTATTAATTGGGAGTCAATGTTTAATAGTCTCCCCCATTTATATTCTGTTGGCGACGATTGATCCCCCTCCGTTTCCCCCTAAAATTCATGTGTGTTCCCTTTCAGGCGGAAATAATGACTGGTTCCAAACGTAGAATATTTTCGATGATATTTTTGAACAACGCAGGTAGAGATCATGCACTGATTGTGCCACATAGAGCAGGAGTGAACACCTGAATTCGTTTTCGCTTAAGTATTTGTAGGTTTTTTTTTGTTTTGGTAATATCTCTCGAATTATGACTAGATATTGTTCCATTTCGGTCGCGTCGGGCGGGATTGGAAGTCATATATAGTTTTATTTAAATCAATATGACGTTAGGAATCGTCATTTTTGGAACTTCAAGGCTGACTTGGATCGGAACGACTTAATTTGAAAATGGTGGCAGATTTTCCCATCCAAAATTTCTAACTCTCTACGGTCTGTATTCTGTTTGTTTGCTGCCGCCGACTCCACAGCAAACTATCAGGTTTACTCCGAAGGTTCTAAATTTTTACCTTAGTAGTTGGATTTCCTGAGCGGTCCCGACACATCAAGTTGTGTCGGTTTTTTACTTAAAGGTATTTCAGGAGAAAATAAGTTTGAAGTTTGAAGTTTTTGTTGAAGTATGTTAATTTATAAATACACCACAGCAGTTCGAAAACTGGATTGATATAATTTAGAAATCTAATCATTAACTAATCTATCTTACTTGAAGGATAAAAAGGGTTAATGGGAGATAAGATGTTCTATAGCTAAAAGAAGTTATAATAATACAAGCTGCGAAGTTCGTAATACCCTAAACTTTAAACTATTTGCTTTGAGACATGAAGAGATAGAAAAGCTATTCTCAAAACGGTCGATTTTAAAACGCGGTATGTTAAAAGGTCACGCGCGCCTAATTTCTTAAAGTT